CAAGATGTGTCTTTGAATCTGGGGGTCAACTCACACTAAGTTTCATTTAGAAAACACTGGGAAGACTTAATGAATATCACCAACAATATCAAGATATACATCAATCTATTAGTCCCTAAAATTGTATGTAGTACTAGTATTACTATCACCCTTTAGGTTTCATTCAAATTATATTCTTTCTAGGAGACATGATTGCTAAGATGAGTTAAACAACATACAGGAGGACAATGATACCTTTGGAGCTCAAGTTTAAGAAGAATGTTTGGCCAAGCTTGGATGTGCACAAGACAGTGGTTAGAAGGTGAGTAATTTTTCTTTTCAATGTTTCAAAAACAAGTGTTATTTAAATTTAACATGTATTGCAAGGCTGCCACTATAATATACTATACTGCATCTGAAATACACTTGATATAGTATAGGTCTAAACATAGTGCAGCATAGTCAAAATATACTCGGTACAGCTTAAATATACTGAAGTATAGTTGGATTTTTTTGAAAACTTGTATAGGCATCTTTCAGGATATTTGGTAAATCCAACTATACTGGGTATATTTTTGTATAGATTAGTATACGTCCAACTATACTGGTATAGTTTCCAGTATAGTATAGTTGAACTATACTATACCCACTGTATAATATACCAGTAGTAGTATAGTATAGTGGCAGCCTTGTGTACTGGTATTTTTTCAAGTAGCTTACTGAACTCACAATTCAAGCATCACACCTCTTGTGCAAAGCTAGCTTCTAGAATTGGTCAAATACTTCAACATCAAAGACTATCAATTGGATTGTGAGTATAGCCGTTGTAAGATGTATGGGCAAATTTTGAGAGCTTTGTGTTGTTGCTAGATTTAATGTAGAGGTCAAAAACTCAAAAAGCCCTTTTGAGATTGATAACTTTACTGCCCATTGGTCCAATCTGCACCAGGAAAATAGAGTTCCCTCTGAAAGTGATATAGTTTCAAGTTTTTGACTTCAAAAGTTAAATCTGGCAACGTTTATTTTTTCAAAAATCTGCCAGTGAACCTTACAACATCTGTAGTTGTGAGTTCATGTTGTTTTATCCGTACAATGGCGTCTTTCCAAATAAACTGCTCTTACTTAAAATCCAATCTCAAAATAGTCTGAGAGATGATACAAGGTGCTCTCAGGTGCTCTGGGGCGCTAGGCTGCTGTGATGCATAACCACGCTTTGAGGTGCTATGACACAAGATAGCACAGCAAAATATTGCTATACAGTGCGTATATGTAAACCACCACGTGGGATAAATTTCAAATATAGCTATAGTCAGGCACCCTCCCCGCTATATGGCTAAAAGAAGAGTGCAGGCAGAGCGGCCGCTCCGCTGCCCCCCAATAACGCTATTTTGGGTGGAGCGCCAGTGGCATTGATACTATAGCTTCATCAATCATCTCTCATTTTACACCTTACTTTTTGGGTATGACTTAATCCCTCCTCAAACCTTGTGAAAGCTCTGCTTACTTGTCATACTCTGTTTGTGACTACTGGAGGTAACACAGTTGAGTGTAGGTCCATGATGAATACTCTTCATTTCTTCCCTTTAATCTTTCTATGATATCTTTCTTTATAATTTAATTTAACTCATTATCATGGACTATCATATTTTGGTAAATCACTGGACTTCTGTGATTCACTCAAATTTGACTCACTCTTGAGTCAAAGCTACAGACTGAAATTTCTCCCTTCAATAGCCCTATCAATCTTATCATCCTCTGAAAGATTTAATGTCCAAGATTGCTTTGCTTGATGTCACTGCAAAAAGTATTTTTTATTCTTGATACTTGGTCTGAAGATTTCGAACCTATCTTGAGAATTTAAGTAAGTGGTAGAAAACTTTCATGCCTGATACAAATTATCTTGTGTGTGTAGTCCTATCAATTCTTGATCTCAAACACCTCTGAAAACATAGACAAAGTCCTAAGATGATCAACACCAAGCCGCATGCTATATTCATCCATTTTTCAAAGTGAATATTGTGAATAGGGCCCATAATTTGAGGATGTCAGGCGAAAGAACAATCAAATGCATAAGTAAGAAATCTAAAGCCTGCACGCTGATTCAAAACAAACTACTGACTTGCAGCAATTATGATCCCCATCAAAGCCTCAGCTGAGAAACCCCCATACAAATGTCGTTCAGTAGCCTTCTCGTTCTCAGCTTTAGGTGGAGTGTTCGGTGGTGTTGTAGGCGTTGCTGGTATTGTTCCTTGTCTTGCCATCCCTGCATTGGTAGGTGATGTTGTTTGTTGACAGATAGTAAACGACATCCAATAACAGACAAGGTATGATCTGAATAAACACCTGGCTATTGATCTCGAAATGCACCCCATTTCTCCGTAAACTTGATTTTGTTGTGCGAATATAAAGAGTGAAGAATAAAGAGTGTGAGTCTTGAAGTGAAATAATCTTGTGCCAAAAAAAGAGAGGCAAAAATATCCCAAGACTTTAAAAAGACAAGAAACTTGATGTAGTCTGATATATGTGCAAATTATCAACAAAACTGAAAGCAAAGTCCAAGAGATAGTTTCTTTTATAGTGAGGATGAGTGTTTGGACTGGGGCACCTACGAGAGCATCATGCCTCGCTGTTGAAAGCGCTGTCGAAGTCGAGTCCGAAATATACAATCCTTGACCTCTCACATACTCGTCTCAGCAAGATCGACGTGAGATTACGAGATGTGTTAACTGCAGCCATACTTAATGTTTCTGCTCCAACACCACTTCATAAAAAATTGGTTTATGGACATCGTACTGATGATGCGCTATTCAAGGAGCTTATAACAGGATGTATGTATATATTCTCTTCTCTTCATAGATAAGCATGTATTTATCTTGGTTCTGGTAACGTCGTCATTTGGATGTCCTTGTGCTGAGAACATCCTGAATTTGCATGGCCTCATTGTTTTTCCATGAAACGAAACGACTTGCTTGGTGAAGTTTGAGCCATCAATTATGGTTCTCAAACCTGTGCAAGAACTGTGCAAGACCGACGTGCAAGATCCGTGCAAGATTTCTTGCACCAATCTTGCGCATTAAATTTTTTGACGACCCCAGCTATTTTGTTCCAACTGGTACGAAAACCGTGCGAGACCGACGTGCAAGTTCCGTGCAAGTTCCGTGCAAGTTCTATTCATGTCTTGCACAGAAGTTGCTCGAAACTTGCACAAATTTTTGCATAGGTTTGAGAACCATAAATGATAGAATTCGTTGTGGTTACACTTTGTACATATATGTAAGCGCATGGAGCCATGATGACGTCATCATGCGTTGTATGTATGATAACTGCCGTTGCTCACGAGTCGAGCAAGGTCAAGGGTTTGGGTATGCTGAGCCTGGATCTGAAGAAATCTTTGAGAGGATGTCAACTAACGGTTATCGTCAGGTGAAGCTAGATGAGTTTGAAAAAGAATTCCACCAACTGATTGGTAAATATCAAGAATCGACCTTGTTTCTTCACTTATCTCGAGCTAATTCTCTGAACCTCCGTTTACGTTCACAGAGCTCTCGAGTCAAGATTTGGGTTCTTCGATCGTCGCAGTTTCCGACGAATGGTTTGCACCTGCCAAGTCACTTATCAATCCTAAAGTAAAGCTCTCTCAAAGTGTTACTGCTTGAATGTGAACGACCAACATTCTTCCTTCATCCCTTGTACCAGCCAGCTCAAGCTTATCCAGGTCAATTTGGTCCTAATGGAGCACTGTATGATGTCAGTCTTTGTTTTTGGTCACACCGACTGGGTTCCCATTATAAAGCCTGAAGTGACACTGTGTTGCGTTGCATCTTTGTTCAGGGATGGGAATCACGTCGCCACAATCCTACATATGATTGGTTAGTCACAAATCAACCTCACTTCTACTTGGATCATGATCAGCTCAGCTTATCATGGCTCTCGACAAACTTCCTGTTTAGGGTCATCATTCGCCTCGGCGTCTCTTCCGCCACTATCGAAGGCTTCGATCTCGACACAACCCACTTCAGTGGCAACGAAGCTCCAGCCTGTTCCGTCTTTGGACTTCCCATCAGCTCTCGATCTGATTCAGCTTCCACGATAGCTCCATCGGCTAATGACCCCCAAGTGCGTTCCAAACGAGATGAACCAATACTCATCATCACTGTTCGGTTGATGTGACTTGCAAAATCCAGTGGCAAGAATTGTTACCAGCCGTACCTCTAGGTCCTTCATCACGTCACCTGTTCAAAATCAATGAGACCGCCACAACTTACCAATATCTGAAGTTACACATGATTCCTGATGGTTTGTAATCATCTCCTTATTTCCTACCGACTCTCTCTGCCCATCTAATTAGTCCTCATTTCAGGTGGCATCGCCCGATTTCGCGTCTATGGTCACCCTATCCCGATCTTCCCTGAAAATTTGGTTTCACGTTTCGATTTGGCCAGCGCCCTACTCGGAGCTCAAGTCGTATTGACTTCTAATCAACATTACGGTGTAGGATCCAACTTGATTCTACCTGGTCGTGGTCCCGAGAATATGGACGGAGGCTGGGAAACTCGTCGAAGTCGAAAGCCTGGTCACTCCGATCATGTGATCATCAAACTGTGAGTGGAGTCATCTTCTCCGACTTTTTGAATCTCTTCCAGACCGTCACACGATCTGACTTATCTATGGCCTAATGTTTGTATAGAAGTACAACAGGATATTTGGACTACACGGAGATTGATACCAATTATTTTATTGGAAATTTCCCTCAGGAAGTTGATCTATATGGAACAAATTCCGATCAAGTGAGTCTTTCTCACTTGAACAAACCGAGCAAACCTCCACAGTTTTCCAGAAATTATTGTGGGAAGCTCTGTAGCCTTCAATCACTTTGTTCCTAATTTACATTCTTTTCGCCGAAGTTGATCCCGAGTGCAGATGCGGAATGGACTCAAATCTTACCCAAGACCAAGCTTGGACCTCATCAGCAACAGTATTTTCAGCTAAGTAATCCAGAAGTGCCACTGACGCACGTGAAAATGACGATATACCCCGGTGCGTATTTTTCATCCCTTCAGAGCAACCCAGTCGATTGACATAACCCCTGCCTCGATGACTGACTCATCTTTTGAGACCCTACCTTATCTTAGATGGTGGGATTAAGCGCGTCCGTCTTTTCGGCCGCCGCGCGCCATCATATGACATCCCTTTAGTCCTTCCCGAGCCCAAATCAACCACATCCGATCTTCCCGCCCCATTTCTCTGCGTCTGTCCCTCAAAGCCTGCCATCACAGTCCCAGTATTACCTCTGACTCGAGCAGCTTTTTCACCCTTTGGATATACGATCGAAGCTCATGATGATCCACGTACCTGGCATCCGTCCATCCAACATAAGACCGTAAACTTTGGAAGTGCGGAAAAGTACTGTGACGTAGCTCAGATTGAGACATTGAAAACGCCAACAGGAGTTGAACCCAAGTCTAATCTATGCATTTTTAGCGCTCAGCCTTGGCCTGAAACTATCGGTGGTGAAGGTAACAGACGCTGGAAGTTGAAAGGACTAGAACGACATGCATACAGCTCACAGAGTTTTTTACCTCTTGCGTCTAACAAAGAAGTTTCGGGCCTTGGTAGCTATTTAGTTGTTGTAGGCTATGACAGTAAGTATTTTCAAATAGAGAGACCCCAAGAGATGAGTGAACTGAGAATGCGACTTTTATTTTGGTATCCTTTCAAATTCTAGATGGAGATGGGAAACCAGATTGGAAGAATTTGAGAGCTTTCCTAGCTCAAGCGGACCAAGGGATCTCATACAAGCCTAATACATGGCATGCTCCACTGATAGCAATCAAAGAGGTAAGCAAACACTACAAAAGATGGAAGAAGTCGATGAAAAAATCTAACAGTCTTGGAAAATCTAGCCAATGAATTTTGCATGCATAGTAAATGAAACTGGAATTCCTGAATTCGATTGCGAGTTGGTAGAATGTGGAGGAGAAGAAGTGGTTTGTGAATTAAATCAATAGTAAGTTATAAGTGAAGACATGTTAAGGAAAAAGAAACATTCTAAGCTCGATTTTTGATATGTAACTTTGGACTAGGTCACACATGATTGATATGAGTTATACAACCCGTGTATGATTTTGGATAGGATCACAAAGGGTATTTTGATTTTATTTCATCTTGTTGTTGTTGGTATAAACATGAAGGTTATGTACACGTACACCTGAATCAAAGAATTGTCCATGTGCTTTGGAATGATATTTCAAAGATCATCAAGAGGGCCAAGTTATCCACAGTGACCAAATTCTCCTGTATAACTATACTCTTGAAATAGTTTCCATGGCACCACACCTCTTGAAACTGCATCCAAGATCACCATACCTCATTGTAGGTATTGACTTTTGACATTTGATATACACCCACAAACAAATGTCCAGTCTATGTGGTGTTTAGAGACCCTTCTCGACAAAAAAACACACAAGAAAGTGAAATCAACAAACATTAATCACACCAAAGTTCTTCTTTTTCACACACTTTTTCACAAACATTCTTTGCAAAGATTTTTCAATATACATAGCTCTGTCACACTGAAGTTTTCCTTCAAAGCTCCCGTTGATAAACTCAGATACTCAACCTCGTCATTGTCAATCAGTTGAAAAGTAGGCACCAGATCCCAATGATGTATACTTGATGTTCCCTTTGAGTCTTACACCATAACAGTTCTTGTATTATAAACCCTTCAACTTGGAAATGAAGATTATCACTCAAGTTGATCTATCATCAATATTTATCACTTAACAAAGGTACAATCACAATCACAATCACAATCACAATCACAATCACAATCACAATCACAATCACAATCACAATCACAATCACAATCACAATCACAATCACAATCACAATCACAATCACAATCACAAAGATGTTTCTTTTAATCTAACTTTTTATTTACTAAATAACAATTTCAGGTTCAACTGGTGTGAAATCTTTAGAAGATTATCAATAAGAACATCTTCAATGAAAGAATGAGAACAAGGTTTCACCACTAACATCACATCCCTCCTGTCCAAAGCGCTCTTGATAGCTTTTTGACTGTTTAAACCATTTCCCCTTATCTAAGTCTCAAGTATGTTATCTTCAAGGTCCATCCTCAAATCCCTAGCCTCTGAAGAAAATACGGTCAAAGTCACAAAGCCTCTTCTGGTTAATACAAGAAAACTGATTTAAATCAGAGCCATTGTGTTGAGGCAGGTTAGCAATAAGCTTTACATTCAAAACCAAGTGTCATTTTCTCTCATTCTCTCATTCTCCTTCAAACTTTTTTTCATAAATGATTAACAAGCGATCAAAAAAGAAAAAATGTCAAAAAAAGATGATAGAGATGAAGAAAATAAAAGTTATATCACACAAGACAAAACTGCAAAAAATAAGGTCTGCCAAACTACTACTACTACTACTACTAATAAACAATGATAAGAACAAAAAGAAAATAAATTAAAAAAACCGGTGACCAACTCGTTTTTTTCAATGAGTTTATCTATCTTTTCACGTTTTGTCCACCTCACAAGGCCATCGCTTTACCTTTTTATCTTTGTGGGTTTTTTTTTCTTTTCTTCATGTGATCGATAACCATTCAACATCCATCAACGTTAAACAAAACAAAGAAGAAATCATGAATCATACAAATCGAGGTGAAAGAATTAAGGGACAGAAAGAGATAAAAGAAGGAAAAAAGTAAAACAAAAAAAAAACCAACATCCCACAATGAGATGTTAGATCAAGTAGAGGGAGTAGTTAATCGGTTTTCAATTCCTAATAATTCAAAGACTTTTCTACCCAAAGTAGCAATCTCTTGATCTCCTGCATCACCACCTCCTTCACTACCATCGTCGTCATCAACTGAACTGGACAATGTAGTTCCCGAAGAAGCCAAGTGATTGACGAGTGGAATGATAGACTCAGATGATCGAATGTGGTTCTCCAAGGTTGGATCACCTGATTCTAAAAGTTGTACACAAGTCCAGACCGCGATGTGTTGGAATGTTGGATCGGTAGATTCTAGGAATCGAATCAAGTATCCTTCCAATCCACCTTCGGGTTTGTCCCAAACTGCATTAAATGCCGAATAGTCATCGGCTGGTTTCGGATTAAAGAGAATCAGTTGGTCTTGAAACTTTGCATCAAGACTGAGACTTCGGATCAACGGAACAGACCTTTGGACGAGAGGTTGCCAATTGCTGCGGCGCTGTTTCCTTGAACTTCAACGCTAACGCTGTTGGTCAAAGGAATCAAGACTTCCAAGATCCCAAGGTCTAACAGATGGCCTTTGATATCTTCACTCAACCCTAAAACAGCCGCACAAGCCGTCATTTCGCTTTGTACGCTCAAAGGTACGCTGAGCACTAGCTCTTTGATCCGTTCAATTGCACCGGCCTGGACGATCGCTTCTTTGTTCTTCTCTGACGATGCTGCCAAATTCCTCAAGGTTGAAATCGCATGACATTGGATCTCTTCATTTTCATCGTAGGCCAAGAGTTCAATCAGTGGATGCAAAAAGTGTGCTTCGATGATGGGTGATTCGTTTTGTGGTGTAATCGATACATTTCTCACACATGCTGCAGCTGAAAGAATCAAGGGCAAGAAGGAAGATCGGAGTAGGCGTAATAAGGGGGATAAACCTCCACATTTGACGATTTCGATTTGATATTTTTCTGTCAAAGGATATGACAATGAACATGATTAGATTACAACAATCTATGATCAGAATGTAAGAAAGTAAGGATGAATTCACACATACCATCAGAAGCCAAATTTCGTAGAGCGAGTGCAGCCTGACACTGAACCTTCAGACTGGGGCTATCCATCAAACCGATCAAGCTGTTGACCAACTTAGGTTCACCTTGGGCCAACCTCTTACGATTAGCCGCATCAACAGCAATATTGCTGAGTGCAGTCGTACAATAGTACTGTACATCTGTATCGGAAGATGAAAGTAATGAGACTAAGACGGGAATCGATCCAGCATTCACAAGTTGCTGTCGATTTTCATCAGAGTGAGTCATGTTTAAGAGTGCGCCAGTGGCGTTTCTTTGAACTCTAGTATCTTTTGATCTTGCTAGTCTTGTCAATGGGACTAGAGCACCCGATTTGGCTATCTTGGCTTTGTTTTCGTCTACAATATTGAATAAACCGGTCAAGAAGAAACAATATGTGAGTGTGTTTGCTGGGGTAAAGTGACTGATAGAGGTGAACTGACCATGAGTTGCTAGATTGGTGATACAACCCACAGCGTTACATTGAACTTCCACATTTGGACTGAGCATCTGACGGATCAGCGGTTCGAGGCCGCCCAACTTAACGATCAACAACTTGTTTTCAGCTGTTCAAATGGTAGTGAAAGCGAAAACCAAGGTAATCAGTGAATTTCTAATTAGAATATGACAAAAATGATTGGCCAAAGAAGATTCAAGATACGACGAACTGTTGACAGCCAAGTTACCAAGAGCAGCACTGGCAGCCCGTTGAACTTCGGTATCATGAGATTGTAATAAAAACATGATAGGTTCCAAAGTATCCCTTCCTACTTCTCTGACATCTTTTTCAGTGATCTCGGCAAAGGCCAGAGCAGCGGATCGTTGTAAGTCAACGTTATCTGAGAAGGATAGAGTTGAGAGTGACTTGAGTGGTTCTCCGGTGAAGAAATTGGTATCGGTCCGATCTAAACAAAGCGGAGAATGATTGTGAAAGATAGAGTTTACAAGTCAACAAGTGAATCTAGGTATTCTAGTAGGCTGAATAGTGCTGTTGGATCAAGCATGGACGTCTAATGACTTACGCTCAAGGAACTGCAAGAGACTTGCTACCGCATCACGCTCAGGCTCGAGTAAGAGAGGTTCATAACCCGATCCATGAGAACCACCTAAGAGTAATGATAGAAATAGTAAGTATTGATTGAGGAAGAGTCAAGTTGATAGAAGAGAGAAAAGACTGACGACCACAACTGCAACATGAAGAAATGTTCCCCATGACTTGAATGAGTTGATTAGATGAGAAGGATGATGAGGATGGGAATGATGATGAAGTATAGAATTGAGAAGTTGATGAAGAGTTGATGATTTAGAAAGGTCAGGAGAGGGTAATTAATTTTTCGATGGTCAACAGGCTTTCTTTGAGAATTGGATACACAAATCAATCAAAAATTAGAATTTAATCCTTCAAAACCATTTAAAATTTAAGTCACTTTTCTCGTGTATGTATTTTAATCTTTTCATACACCACAGACTCAGCTGATCAGTCATCCAGTCTACCTCTCTACCACCGAAAAGAAAATTGATCAAACTCTACAAAATCAAATCGAATGGATTTTATTTCACACAATCCTTCGAGCTTCATCAACTCCCTCCAGTGTCGATTTCAACATTTCTAACTTATCTCATTAAATAAGGGTACTCAAAGTAAGTATGTACGTGTACATACTTTTTGCTATATACTTTTTTTGGCGGGGAAGGCGAGGCCAAAAGTATATTTTTTTTCTTTGTCCCCGCCAAAAAAAGTATGTAGCGAAAAGTATGTAGCGCTACATACTTTGCTTTGAGTACCCTTAATGTATGTATCATCCTACCATATATCTTTCAATCACTGCAACTTGAATATCTTTACGTACAACCCAAACTTAACAAAGTTTCATGCAACCCTGTTTCCAAATTCCAATGTCCATATGGATAATACAAAATCGTTGGGAGAGTTGGGGCAAAGTTTATTCATAGGGGGTCAGAGAGGTCTGAAATAAATCACTTCTTCAGCACAGTTTGATAGGATTATCTTTCTGAATGCAATATGTAGATGTGTGATATTGGAGTGGGGCAAACTGCAGATCATGGTCATTTCAAAGATCCCTGATATTTATATTCTGACACAGAAAAGGGTTACTGAAAATAAATTAATTTTGTGGTGAAGTTTAATCATTTTCAAAGAAATCTAAACGTTGAGAGAGAGGTGGAATTGCTTCTCAATGGATCATTTCTATAGTCAATTAGAGGGGGTGACCAGGAAGGATTCATCATGACCTTCATCTTCACTGTCAGTTTGGAGTAGGTTAACCAAGAGATATCACTGGAAATCTGGGTGGATCAAAAGGTTAGGCCAGGTCACCACCCTGAACTGGTATTGATTGACATACTTCAAAATACCATGTTATCTGATACGTCATATTTGGGTGGTGAATAGAGCCCTCATCTTCTTTAAATCATCATCCTTGATTGTATCTTTCTATTGGCAAACGATTTCAGTTTCCTTCACCATAATCTTCGTCCGCATACCCCAAATACTTACCTCACTTCAAGAAAAACCTTTCAATACCTTCAAACCCTTCTGAAGATTTGCCACATAGCCACCTCTTGACCATCTCTACTCAACATGAACAAACCCTCAATCCGATTCAACCTCAATAAACCTTCTTCAATCAAACTCGAACCCAGCCCCATGCAAAGTAACTTGATATACCCAACCATCAAGTTTCCCAGTATCCATTCTGGCCTTTTGGCTTAGATCAAGTGTACACCGCATGCAATGTCGTGTCGCATTCGGGGCTGCGACACGCTGTCGCTGCCCCGGGGCATACTCATGCCCCGTGTGCGACAGTCCAAATTTGGCTGCGACAACACACGGTGACCTGCGACATCCACGCCGCGCACCGGCCAAGTGCGACATCAGAAAATACACATGCGACAACTCAGCGTCTGAATGCGACATTATCACCTTTCGACTCCAACAAATCAACCCTCGACATGATCAAGATCCCTGGTTCCGTCATTGACCAAGCCAGTTTTACCATTGCAAATCGATTTTAAACTCTTTTTATAGTTGAAGGTGTAGCACGGACTGATCCTATGGTCTCTATAGGAGCTACAAGAGCGAATCTTGAATCTGTCAGTAGGTATCCAACAGATCAAGTAAAAGATGAATTTTCATCGTGATTTTGATTTCTTGAAAAGATCTATACATAGGTGATGAACTTCTCGATCAAGCTATGAGTTTATGATGATGTGATTTATTGCACGCGCTGTGTTCAATTGAAGACGACCTAGAGCTGGATGCATGGAATCATATGCGATTGTCGGTGATTTGCTTCACATGATCATCCATGATCATCATGAACTTCATCAAGTTCAAAACTTCAACTTGTCAAAAGATTTCCTCGACTTCGTTTTGCACCACAATCAATCTTCGCTACTAATTGTCAAATCCTTGTATCCAATCAGAAAAAGACCAACTGTTTTGTTTTGTTTTGCACAAGAGAAGATGGAAGACCGTTCTTTGGAATCATGTGAAATCATTTTTTATGTACAAGTGAGACTAAAAAGCCTTTGAATCACATGAAAAGACAATGCAACAAGAGCACACTCCGGCATAATCATCTCACAAACACTTTTCAAAACAAAATAGAAATTGTTTTATATTTATGAAAAGAATAGATCCAGGTTTTGAAAAATGAAGATCTCATATTCTTAAAGAATAAAGGTTTGTTGGAAAGAAACTATCTCCAAACTCTCTGTTTATAAAAACAAATCACATCAAAATCACTACAAAACAAAAAGAAATATGAAATCAGATTCAAATCGGATTGATGGAGAATTAAAATTAGAATAAGATAAATCTCGGATGGGAGAATTGAGAGTATATCTTTCATTAATAAGTGGTATAGGTGATAAAAAGTTATTTGATGAAGGTCTATTGATTCACTTTGATGAAGTTCTATTGATTCACTTTGATGAAGTTCTATTGATTCACTTTGATGAGGTTCTTTCATATTCATCTTCTTCCATAATGTGATTTGAATAATGATGATTCATATTAGTTGAATTATTACTTTCTTCCGTGTTGGGAATCAATGAAGATGTTGCAGTAGTTGAAGCTGTTGTTCTTGAATTCAATATAATAATGCAAATGTCATTTAACATCCTGATAAATGGACCCCTAATCACAATCGCTAATATGAAATACGGGTCATGTTCATTGAAGGTAAATCAATAATCAGTTTTTGTCAATTGTGTTTGTCCAAGTCTTAGATTTAGAAAAGAAAGTTATCCTTACGATTGGGATTATGACCACTTCATGGGTGACCTCATAATCAGCATTATAACAAACAAACATTCGAAGTGGTCTTGTTTCATTCTATTGAAAAAGATAAACACATGTATGTGCAGAACAAAAAGGAAGTTATCAGGAATGATTTCAATTGTAAACCAATCAAACAAGAGCCTTCTTACCTCTTCTACAGCTTTATAGAAATCACTCTCTCATCTCAAGGTATCACTAGCATCACCGATAGTCCACTCGCTAAAAGGTACCAAACCTAATAAAGAACACATTTAATCAATGATAGGTCTACTGTTCATTTTTACTTTCAAATGGATATGAATCATTTACCAGAATCCTCAGCAGGAGATCATTTGATAACATCTAGAATATGCCAAAGCTAAGATGAATGAAAACAATAGTTCCAACATTGAGTCAATGATTTACGATTCGCAGAGCTTGAATAACGATTTGACATACATTTTTGAAACATTTTCAGGACTCCCAACTGATGAAAGCCATAGCTAAGGCTGAAGGATCGGAATCAGTATGTTGGAAGAAGGGAAGAAAGTAAGCCGTTGTCGTCAGCCGAGGGTTGATTCGTCGCAGTTGATTGGGTGGTATGTCGTATTCAGACGCTGAGTTGTCGCATGTGTATTTTCTGATGTCGCACTTGACCGGTGCACGGCGTGGATGTCGCAGGTCACCGTGTGTTGTTGCAGCCAAATTTGGCTTGTCGCACACGGGGCATGTGTATTCCCCGAGGCAGCGACAGCGTGTCGCAGCCCCGAATGCGACACGACATTGCATGCGGTGTGTAGTATCTGTTCTTATCAGTGTAATTACTGGTATTGGTTCATCGAACCAATCAATTAATTACTCTTATCTTTGCATGCCCTCGACTGCTAACTGGCTTGCCAGCGTGGTTGAGACGATGGCCTTGGGCTCACACTCTCCCCTTGTGCTGTCAGGCAAAATATTTTTTGTCGACCAGTGTGAGTTGGGGTTTGGTAGACTTGGACGGAAGAGATATTCTGGAATTCGATGTACTTTTTATAAGCTTCAAAGCTTTTTGTTGGTCGCAAAATCTATTGATGTTATCAATATCACATTACTCTCAACTTCAAGAGATGAATGAAAAATATGAAGCTTGGTGCTGGCATTCCAAAGTTGATCATTTCAACCTTTCTCTACACTGGTCGGTCAAGCCCCTAGGTAATGTTCTTCTTTACTCCTTTCTAGGTCAAGACGTATCTCCTGATTAGATTCATGACACTGATAACAATCATTTGACCGTATCAACAACTCAAACATATACGGTCACCATCTCAAAACCCTGCACTCAAACCAAACATCAAAAAATAGATGAGTTCAAATGATCCTTGGCATTTTTCTTTGCATCTCAAATTCAAAACTTCATGATAAAATAATCTTTTCCACCAAACAAATAAAAATCACTGGTTGTTTCTAAAAAATCAAATGATCAAAAAAACATACAATTGAATCATCGTGTAAATGAAAATTTCTAATAATACTTGAAACAATTTCTGGCATACAATCAAAAAAAACTAAGGTGGGAGTTTTTTTCTTACAAATATACATGGCGTTAATGATGATGATGATGATGATGCAATTGATGTTAATTTTTTTGAAAGAGAAAAGAATAAATGGGTTTGGTTTTTAAGGAGAAAAAGATATTTGTGAATCGAAAGACGAAAAAGGAAAATGAAAAAACAAAAATCGAGCAAAATGAAAAAACTCAATCTCCTCAGGCTCCAACCTATTGACACTCACAAAAGCAAAACGTTTTGAAAGAGAAAGCTACTAAGGTGTTACAGATAATTCATCATCAATAGTCGAAAGTAAACTATTACCAATCGAAAGTGGTCTACGAGAACCGAGTGGAGAAGGTTTAGATTTCGAAGTCATATTTCTGAATTGATTGGGAATCGGATGACAGACATCCGAATGAATTATTTCAGATTCGTTGATTGAGGATTGACTAGTGATTTCACTTATATCCGAAAAATAACCACTTGAAGCACTAGATGAAACCGAATTCGAATGAGATCGATTGGTGATCGAAGCTTTGGTTCCTAATGGACTTGGTTGTCGATCATGTTTAAGACTAAATGATCCAGGATTCGATAACCTTCGACGATAGTTAAATGAGATTTGATGATTCGGATCTCCTCCAAGTGATGCTCTTCTAAGATGAGAAGAAGCCTCGTTTTGTGATTTGATGATAGACGGTTCATCTTTACTTTCTTCACTATAACTAATCTTACTTAATGGACTAGCAGAACTTTGTCGACGTCTTAAAGGAAATACACCAGGTACGGACATTGAACGATAAGGCTTGGTAGGAGGTTGAACTGAATTGATTCTTTCGAATGGATTGATTTGATTGGACTTGGTTTGGTTCGAAGGATTTCTTTGGATTGGATGGTTTTTAGGTGGAAATGAGTACGATTCAAAAAACCCATCACGGTTCTCTGATTGACCGGATTGAACTCGAGAGAGAATGTTGTCATTGCTAGCGTTGGAGATAGTATCGGATGACATTTTCAAAGCCTGTTATAAAGAAATCAGAGTAAGTGTGAGGTGAGGGGTTTTTCAGTGAATATAAAAGAAGAGTCAACTAACGTCAAAGGATATGAGTGATGTAAAAAAAATAAGATAAAGATGTGTAAAAAAGTATCTTGGAATGTAGGAAAGGAGACAGAAATTGAAAGATGACAAGTTCAATCCGATGGCCAGATGAAAGAATAAAATGTATTTGTATTGTGGAGTGTAATGGTGAAAGGGAAGATGAATAAAGTATAACAAGAGCTTTATAAGATATACAAAGTCTGTTGGGTCAACTTAATTCGAAAGTGTTAGACCAGCTTGGCGGATTAAATTTGATTGATGTAAAATCAAGTCTGAGAAGCTGAAAAAGAGCTGAAGTCAAGTGATGAATGAAAGTTTTTTTTTTGGAAAAAAAAAGAGAAAAGGGTTGTCTTGGGCTTGAAGATGTCAACTGTTTATTTTATTCAAAAAGTTGAAGTCAAGCTCAATGAGATAAATAGAGAGAGAGAGAGAGAAAGAAAGAGAATCTGACGGTTTCTTTGTGTAGTGAAGAGACCAAAGTTTAATTGACAAAGATGGTTACAACCGTGGTGTGGTCACCAGATTGACCGAAGTCTGAACACACTCTTTGTTGTATCATCAAATTCGATCACCATCACTCTACAATCACACTATCAATCATTTGAATGTCCTTCATTTCCTTTTGTTCAACTTTCTCAATGAAACCAATCAAAACAATAAGTTCAACATTCAATCATCTTCGAAGTGTATGTTTCACCACATGACTCTATTCACAAGGCTTTTTACCTAACAGTATGTAACCAACCCACTTCAAATTGCCTTGCTGCAATCTCTTTGTTTAACATACTCAAGTCTCTCGACCCAGGCGATCTCTTCAGAAGCCCTGGGTAAAAGTTACATACTCTCATTGAGAATTTAACATTTATTTGGATGGCTTGAATGAAACCTCGTGAATGGTCATACGCGCTAGTTCCAATCTTGTGTTTTCAATCTAGCCTCTTCCTACCCTATTTTCAAGCTTTAGCACGGCTTTACTTAACTTTCATCGATTGATCGTAGGATCAAACATGTGTGCTTTTGACGGAAACGAACCCAAATGCAGCACATCCAAAAACTGATCCGAGAACTAACATACTCACATGAGCCACATGATCGAGATTGTTAATCTCTCAGACATCATCTTGCGTGATTTATTCTAGTATGTAGATGGACGAGTTGCTATTAAACAGTAAGCCATCTTGAAGGCAATCATCGATCTACATATGCACCTATACTATCCTTTCCCATACTACGTCATCGGTTTTCCATGTACTGGCGATTATTTTTAAAAAGCTTGACTAACATTCTGCGCCAATTTGAGCTAATCTGCTTGAGTTTTGAGGTATCACTTGCACTAGCTTATCGAGATTGACAATCAGAGACAGACATAGACGTTCTACAATTCAAATTGTAATACATTTTTTTCTAAAAACCTTTGAGATCAAGTATCTATATATCTATTTATCAGGACCCCAAATCTTGACCAATCCATCTGCACTAGCAGTGATCAATTGTCCCGGATGTTTAGGATCAGATTCAACCCAAGTGATCACTTTTTTATGAGCTTCAAAACTTAGAGCAGCATTCCGTTTACCCTTTAAAAGCAAACAAAGAAAATGTAACCAAAGGAGACGTCAGATCATCAAAGTTAAAAGTTTTCATCATTCGAGTAAACTTTTCAAAACTCACACTTTCTAAATCCCAAGCCCATAATAACCCATCTTCATCACCAGCCAAGACTTGTGCTTCATCAAAACTAATGCTTGTATGACTTCTATAACTTTGTGATCGATGTCCAGTGAATTTCTGTAACATCTCACCTCTTTCACGATCAATAAGTCTGATAGTCGAATTAAGTGTTGAGACAGTCATGGTTTTAGAATCATTTAATAAATGAATGGATGTTACGGGATCTATAGTTTTTTTTTTAAAAAAAAGAGACCGATCAGTTTTCAGATAAGATTTTGGATGGAAGAGAGTCAAAACCAACCTTCGAAATAGTCTTGCGTCAATTGTCCCATACGAATATCATAGGCTCTTACATAACCATCCACTGAACCAGTAAGGATCTCACTCCCACGTACAATGATGGAAGTGATGGAATCTTTGGCCTGATCTAGAGTTTGAATAGGATGTCGTTGTTGTGATTTGATATCCCAAATTCTAACATGAGAATCGAAGCCTCCTGTGGTATAAAGAGACATAGTCAGATGAGGATATATATGTTGTTCTGAGTAACGATGAGGTCTGACTAACCACTGAGAAGTAAGTTTCCATCAAAACTAAATGCACATGCATTTACCACACCTGAGTGTCCACTGAACCGTTTCAAAACTGTTCCAGTACCTACATCCCAATAATAAACAGATCGATCACCACCAACGCTTCCAAAGAAAGAATTACTAGGAGCACTAAAGATTTTAATCAAAAAAAACATAAATTTAATCAATTCTCTATCGAATCTATCAAATTTCAAGCCAAACCAAAATAGTAGAGATATAGACAAACACTGCGATTCCTAAGATTTCATAACCATGACCAGGATATTCTTTAATCAAGTTGCCAGTTTTGGCACTCCAAAGACGAATGATACGTTCTTGACCAGCTGTTAAGATATATTGTCCACCGTGATTGTAAATTGCTACGTGAACTAAACCTTGATGTGACAGCTTATGCTGTAGATTCGGTGAACCGCTGGCCATTCATGTGAAGGAAGAGACATGTGATAATTCAATGGTTTCTTTTTTCAACCGATGAAGAGTTATGTCAAGTGTGGGTCGGTTCAAGTTGAAGCGCAGATAAAGAACCGAGCTCGGATACCCAAGCACCCCGATGAGCTTGGAGCAGGGCCGACGAGTTGCCGGGGAGTCGATCAAGTCGGATCGAAGGACTGATCACCACATCATCCTTGATCACCTCCTCAAGTTTATTGACGGCGACCACCCAACAATCTTTAATTAATTTCAATTTTTCAAAACTTATAAAATGTCAGAAGGATGGTCACTAACAGAAGTCAGTAAACCCCAAAATCCACCGAATCAACCCGTTTTCATAAGAACAGAATCCTAATAAAAACCATTTGATTTTCCAAAATTCTTTATATGTAGTCAGATCCAGCAATCTTTACTGCTTTGTTAAGTGAATTAGGTGTTAAAGGTTTGCAAGTTGAAGAACTTTGGAGTTTAGATAAAGAATCTTTAGATAAATTAGAGTACGTTTGATTTATTGATCAATCCATCTTGATATAGTTTTCAAAAAAAGAAACTTACTTGATTTCCTTTTACGCGTAGACCGGTGTATGCGCTTATGTAAGTTCAACCTGATTGAATTAATTCCAAAGTCGAAGTTCATCTTCAAATGGTCTTCGTATCTCGGTCAAAGTTTTCTATTCAAGTATTTAGAATCACATAGTAAAGATCCTTCCAAACAAGCCGGAAAACAAGAAGTTCCACCTGAAGGTACTTGGTTCGCTCAACAGGTTAGCTGGTTGATTTTCAAAAGTCTTCAATACTCTTCACAACTCGAATGATTGATTCGATTGTTTTTTGTCTTCTGAATTTAGGTAATCACCAATGCATGCGCTACCTTGGCCATCTTAAATGCAGTGATGAATGTACCAACAACAGATGTGAATCCTAATATTCCAAAAGGAGTGTTTTGTCCACCGGTAGAGTTGGGCCAAGAACTGGGTCAATTGAAATCCTTCTCTGCTGGTGTGTGTGTATCTCTTTTTTTCTTCCTTTTTAGAATGGGTCACGGCGATTCTTGGGCTCTTTAATTGAGTTTTTGGTATATGATCGATGCTATTGACCTTCGATGCAGAAATGAAACCCTTCAACGAGATTAAGATTTTAGCTGATTTGAGTTGTGTTTGAATTTCGATGAATTAGAACTCGATCCTCAGACAAGGGGCGAGGTTTTGACAAATTCTGAAAAACTGAGGACAGGTGAGGAATACCACTTTATTCGACTAGGCTTCTCAATGGTCATTCGTACTGATCTATGAGTATGATTTAGTTCATAACTCGTTCTCGCGTCCAAATCCATTTCATTCTGATGAGCCACAATCTTTAACGTCAGAAGATGCCTATCGTGAGTGATGATGATCCAGTGTTCCGAAAATGGTGATCCTAATCAGATTGAAATTTTCTTTAGATTTCATCACTTATATTCCTGTTCAAGGGAAATTGTATGAACTCGATGGACTCAAAGCTTTACCCGTTTCACATGGTGATATACCGGTGGGTACCAAATGGACAGATAAAGCACGAGAAGTGGTAGAAGATAGAATCAAGACCTATTCGGCAGCAGAGGTAGATCATCATTTACTAGAAATTTAGTCAACCTATCACGCCCTCCCCCCCCAAAAAAAACATGAGGCTAAATCTCAAGGGTATCATTCAGGTCCACTTCAATTTAATGGCCATCTGTGGTGATAGGTTAAAAGTTTTGGAATCCAAGTTGCAATCAGCACAAGCTCAAGCTAGCTTGCAAGGAAACAGTTATGAACTTCATGCGGAGATTGAACAAGAACACGAAAAACGAAGTCGATGGAAATTTGATAACTCAGTTCGACGACATGTTAGTGATTTCCTCGTCTTGAGCTAGACCTTTGTCTGATTCTCTGATAATCAAACTGATATGTTTTCGTATGATAGAATCACGTGGGTTTAGCACACGCTTTGTTATTAGCATTGGCTAAATCTGGGAGGTTAAATGGTCAAGTTGAAGTAGCAAAGAAGAAGATGACAGAACGAGTGGCTAGGAGGGGACATGATGATATGGATATGGATTGAATGATATTAGATTGACTTTCTTTGATTGGTTCGATTGATCCCTTTTTTCGTGAGAAAGAGGGAATTGAATGATCATGCGGGTTGCTCTGCATACCAAAAAGAAACACAAGTAGTCCTCTATTCTAAAATAAAAGAGAGGTCTTTGAGAGCACTCCGGAAGCGGAAAAGTGTATATCGATAGATTTTCTTGCCTGCTCCACTTTGACGCATTCACCGAAGCCTCACTCGGACATGAAGAATAGAGTTCAAACACAGAAAGGGCTTCTGTGTCTCTTTTAAACTCCATATATCTTCAAAGTAGGCAATGTTCTTTACGATCAACGCGTCCTAACTGTCTCTCCGGGTCAACCTGCTCGATTGTGAGATGTCATGTATTGTTATCTGTGGGTTGTCACTGTGATGTAGCTCATAGCTGCAGCACGATCAGAGAAGGGTATATGTGCTCTCTCGTAATTTTCTCGTTAATAGTTGGTCTTCAAAATTCCCAGATCTTACCACCAATATCCTTGCTCTAGCAAAACCAACATGTCTTCCAATTCAAAACCTACATGTATCCCTCACAGAAAAAAGCATGCAATCATTTGGTTGTTTCCTCAGAACTATCGTCGGTGTTTCCAGTTGACTTCTTCAGCCAGCGCGTGAAGCATGTACCTGATCCCGGGTGCTAATTAGCGTGCACCTACCAATCATTGTTCTGTTGCAACTTCGAACACTCAACAACTAAAAGAAAGCTATGATCTGACCTGACCGCCCTGAATGAATCTGGTTCCTTTTTCAAGCCGGATTGGCTTCTATTGGGCATTCCCCCTCTGCAAAGAATCTTACTGCAAAACAAAACAGCACAAATCCACTTGACACATCCAGACTATCGAACCTTGAAATTTTTACCTATCACAAAAGAATGCACTCTCATCCATCCGCTCCTTCTGGTCCTCGGCCTCCTCGAACATCTTCAAGAAAATCCGGCGTGCCTTCAGAGAGTTCAAGAAGAACTAGCCGGCTGATGTATGATCCATTCAGTCCATCTACCGAAGCCCCACACAACAATTTCATGATGGCGAATTCTGGAGAGTCATCTCCCAATACTCCAGACGAACTTCCCAGCGACTCTGATTCTTGGCCGACCAGCGCACCTCTTACTGGAGCCGCTTACGGCAACGTCAGTAGCCAAAGTCATCAGACGAGCTCTTTCTCTGTGAACTCAGAAGCTGCACTTTTGGCACCTGGGGCACGTCAGAGAGATTGGTGGAGGTCAAGTCGATCTGACCCGAGGAGGGAAAGCAAGCGTTTCTTTATGGACGACTTCAAAGATTATGACGCAGAATTAGAAGACGAGCTTCATAACATAGAAGATGACGATGATGATGATTTGATAATGCGAAACGGAATGATGAAAAGAGTGACGAACCGGTCATGCGGAATTTTCTCCGTCAGAGGGATCTTAAATCTCGGTGCTTTGATGCTCTTGACATTTGGTTTAGTCACTGTTTTTGCGGTATTACCCGTCATCACCTACTATAACTCACACATATTAGCTAAACAACTCATCGTGAACAGTGGTGGATTCAATTTAGGTGGTATCAATGGCACTGGGCAAGTTCCTATCATCAACAGTCTTCCAGGATTGATTGATACGACCACACCAGATTCAGCTTTGACTCGCCAAGGGTTCGATGGTAAACAGTACAACTTGGTCTTCTCAGACGAATTTTCTGTAGACGGGCGAACTTTCTGGCCTGGTGACGACCCCTACTGGGAAGCGGTTAACTTGCACTACTGGGCAACAGGTTAGATTTCCACTTTTCTCAGTAGTCCGTGCAGCATGGCCTTGTGGATTTCTAACCAACCACTGATTTACACTTCGTATTTGCGTGTACAGGTGACTTGGAATGGTATGATCCAGGTACGTTCGCTGAAAGAACAGAAGCACAGTTGGGCAGGGATAACTGAGACCCTATCTTCCACTTTGCAGATGCGATCACAACGACCGGGGGAAATTTACAGATTACGATCACGAAAGAAGATATTCATGACTTGGATTTCAGATCGGGAATGTTACAGTCTTGGAATAAGTTTTGTTTCACGGGTGGTTATATCGAGGTGTCAGTAAGCTTGCCAGGATCACCCACCATACCGGGATTTTGGCCGGGGGCTTGGACAATGGGAAACTTGGCAAGAGCAGGGTATGGTGCAACAACGGATGGAACATGGCCATAGTGCGTTTCGTGATTGAACTTCTGAAGTTTTCAATGTCGTCATTCTGATATTTTTCGTGTGACAGTTCGTATCAGGCATGTGATATAGGCACTTTGAAGAACCAAACTACCGTCGATGGCACTGGGCCTGCGGCAGCTCTCACATCTGGTACTGGAGGAGGAGTTCTATCTTATTTACCTGGCCAAAGGCTATCGTCTTGTACTTGTTCAAACGAAGACCATCCTGGTCCAAACGTACGAGTGGGACGGGGCTCGCCTGAGATTGACATCATTGAGGCTCAAGTGACTACCGTCAAAGGTACGACGGCCATTGGACAAGCATCGCAATCTGCTCAATTCGCTCCATTTGATGATACTTACGACTGGAACGCGGCGGGAGCAAAAATCGTTGATGCCACTGTGTGAGTTTTCTGTGGTGCGAGAGTCATATCAATTATAGGCAAAGCTTGATAGCTTCATTGTTTTTGATTGTTAAAGGTCCAAAGCAAATACTTACAAAGGTGGAATCTATCAAGAATCGGTGTCAGTCGTCACCACCACTGACCAAACAGCATATCAAGCAACGGGTGGAAACTTTCAAAAGGTACGTCAATATATTATGACACTGATCATGGAATTGGAAAGAGACTCCTACATGATTACGCGATGAATAGGATCACTTGACCTGACCAGTCATTTTTAGTTTGGTTTTGAGTACACACCCGGAAGCTCAGGTTCGATCACCTGGTCAGCAAGCGACGCTGCAACATGGACATTGACTCCTGCGGCAATAGGGCCTAACAAAGTCACTCAAATCGGCCAAAGAATAATAAGTTCAGAGCCAATGTACATCATTTTGAATGTATGCAAATTTTCTTGGCTATAAAATATCTGCTTCAAAGTGGTTTACTGAATTCGAGATTATTTCGTCTTGGTGGTCATCCAGCTCGCAATTTCTGCTGCTTTCGAGACAGTTGATTTACCGCATCTAGTCACTCCTAATAGGATGCTGATCGACTATGTGCGTGTTTATCAAAGTAAAGGGCAAGAAAATATAGGATGTTCCCCTACTCAATATCCTACCGAGGACGTTAGTTCTTTTCTTAATCTTTTCCTTGTTATTATCGGAGAACCCAACCAGGAATACTGATTTTAATCCTCACTTTCCAACAAATGGACCTGTATTAAACCAGTATATCAACGAACACATTGTCGCTTATACGAATCCCAATCTCACTACGTGGGCACAAGCAGGGTTTGTCTTGCGATCTACTCTTACTTCTTGGTTATCACTCAAATTGGTATTTACTGACATTGTTCTTCTTTGGTTGGAATCTTTTTGGACGACTTACATCAACAGATATACTTTTCCTAAGAATTCACTTCAAGATACCTGCTAAGTCTTTAATCATCTAGTTTGTTGTGATTCCTTTATCAGATTTCTTGAATTTTGTTGTTGTAAAATTTCATTCAAGTCTTTTGTCTGTACACTGTAAACCCACTTGTTAAAGATTTATCTAGTTTTGTTTTTATCTGATGTTGGTTTGGCCTACTTTGTAAAGAGATGTGAAATTAAAACTTCTTGTCTAGTAAAAAACACCTATGGCACTCACGGTTAGAATTTTGAAGCTAAGTGGTTTTCAAGTTGCATGGGTTCTATGGTTGAAAGCTATGGGGGGAGTCAGGGAATGCGATTGGGATCTATATCCTAATGTTTTGACGTAGTTTGAAGGCATCCACTTTGATCCCAGTCCCCAAAGATTCACTTCTCATATGAGCTGACCACAACTGTGAAAGTAGTTTTTCAAGCTTCATTTTGTTCTCCCCACAGGCTTTACTACCACTAACAGAAGAAACAATAACGCTCGATTGGAAAAGCTGATGGCTGCAGATCTTCCCAACAGACAATTCTCAGTGGTCAAAAAAGTGTCATTTTATTCCTTGGGATCACCAACTAAACACCCTATTGGGACGATAAATTGACATGCCATTCTTATCTCCCAGTCAAAAACAGATCATCTTGATAGTAATCATGAAGATCATAAGGGTTTTTCTACCTATCTCCAAGTTTGCAACATGCGTAATTGTCAATTCACCAATGCAAGGATTGACTGAGGGTTAACTAATCGCACCTAAAATCCAATTCTGTGAATATAAATATCATTCATAACTGTGACCCATAAAATTACTGCAAAGGCATTTTCATTTCCCTACGTGCAAGCCACAATAGGCTAAATTTGTTTTATCCTGGGCTGTACCCCAAGACTACCTGCAGATTACACACTTCAACCATCAACTATTGAACCCAAACATCCTAAAAGCTGTTCTACAGCAATTTTCACCTGCGAGTAAGGTCCTTTTGATACCTTGAATGCAGGTCTAACTGTCCTTGCAACCAAGACCAGCGCATACATATAGCACACCATTAACGCACGGCTGGGGATGTTCTACGCCGAGAGGGATCTGAGCCGGCCATAGAGCTAGCCCTGTTGACCTTGGACTGGCCGAGCCCTAGCTCTCAGTGAGAGATTCGCGGCGTCGAGTGTTTTGAGCAGACTCAAATACAGAGACCGATATGTTCAAGCGCGATGGGAGAGCAGGCGAGAGCAGCGTGACTGCGGGTTTATAAGGTGGGAGTTTGTTAATCGGCAAGCGACAGCTGACTGACAATTCTCGTGTGAAATGAACGAAATCAATTACCGAGGAATGTGTGTGTATAGACTCTAGAGTGGATTAAGTTCATTTACATAAGAGTCATGCTCACTGACACTTTCTCCAATCGATCCTCTTTGGTACATATTTATATCTTCGTTCTATGTGTTGGGTCCTATGAGGTTCATGATATGATTTGTATTAAGTAATCTGATAAATAAATATGTTCATGTTCAACCAAACCTTCAAAATCACATTCAATACACATCTTCAGATCAAAAAATTCAACCTCTTGGGTCGTGGTGAGCTCAGCTGAACATATTCACATCTGCAGGTTTCATCCAAACAGGTGATCAACTTCAACGACTTCAATAAATAAAACAAATATATACATACTAGCTTTCAAACTAATCATATCAATTCACTTTCTTATCAAGAGCGTCCTCTTGAAGCACCTATACTCCTTTCCTTCATTTCATTTGATCAACATTACCTAAAATACTGTCATAGCATCTTGGCTACTGATCCCTGCATCGATGGCTCTTCAGAAGTCCAGGCCACGAATTCAATTTATCGAGCCCATAAAAAATCACCATCAAGCTAATATCACGGCTGATTCAATCGTCTCCTCTTCTCATCAATCAACATCGACTATAACACCACCTCACAATAGTCCGCTTTTCTCGATCGCCACTCCCGGTCAGCGTGTAAGATTTCACCCGATAGTGCGCATCATATTCGCCGATGGACAATCGGACAAGGATCCCCAAAGCCCTCACTGTCGCTCTCCTACAAATTGGCCTGATTCGAAACTGCAGAGACGCATGCGGTTGGGGACCAAGACACTCAGGTCAGCATGCCTGTATCTTGAATACCACCACGCTTCAACGCATACATGACTGACTTTTGATCTTTTTTCACAGTTTACCTCTCTCTCTCTCTCCTCATCGTCCGCATCCTGTGAGATTCCTGTCACCTACTGCCGGCGACTTCCCCAACATTTCTCACTCAAGGCAATCGGTCTTGGCGCGAACACAAAGAGAAATTGAAGAGGATGATCAATTCATTCCTGCTCCGGTTCGCACAATCAAACTCACCATCCCTTCTCTTACTCGGCGCCCTAGTTCAAAAAAACTTCGAGTACGAGAAGAAGAACGGATTCGACGATGTGCAGAAGCTCACGGAGGCAAGATTAAGAGTTGTCTCAAAAGGCCTTCTTCAGGCTTTGGCGCTACCCCTTCAATTCCTCGGTCGAGACGTGATAGCAATGAAGTTGGGATCGCAATATCTACTAACACCATGCGCAACGTATGGATTTCTAGGTCCCCCCAGCCTGGTATAACTGAGGAAAATGTCTCCTCTGACAATCAGCTACACTGGAACCAGGCAGTAGAAGATACTCCAGTGTTCACAAGCAGTCAGTTTCTCCAGTCTTCAATTCATAAATCATTGCCAAACCACTGACTGTTGGGATGTATATGTTTCTGTAGACTTTCATCCTAGCCCCACGAACTCGTCTGAGTCTGACTCAGTCGGTCCAAAGTCACCGCTCGAGACCAATGAAGATACAGATTCAGATAAATCGTCTCCAGATAGCACGAGTCATCCTGAAGATTCTCACAAGTCTCCCGTTAAAGGTCTCAATCGACTCGCCAAAAAACTTTCCGGTTCAGCACTACACTTCCGTTTTTTTACACCTAAGCCACAACGCTGGCAGTTACCAGATGACGACCAAGAAATAATCCAGGATGAGATGGAAGAACTCGAATTATCGATCCCTGAGCCCGACCTAATCACTTCTAAGGACACGCCGCGTTCTTGGCTACCCGTACTCTCACTACGAAAACGTGCCTCAAACATTGAGCAAAGGTCGAGATTGATTGATCAAGACAATGATTCAAATCGTCAAGAATATACTGGCCAGCCTGCTCCTCTCGAAGATGATCCATTGACGATCGACGATACAATGAAGGACCGTTTACTTGTCCGATCTAACTCGTATCATCATGATCATCGTGCTCTGCCCTCTACATCTGGAGATCCTATCTTCAACACCGATCCTTATGGCGAAACCACCTCGACAAGTCTCTCGATGAGTCTGTCGACAAGTCTCTTGACGATCTCTCCTGGCATCACAAGGAGCAACACGACGCTTGATCGAACACTCACTGCGCAAGAACAAGGACTCAAGCCGTGCTGTGAAACATGCGAGGAAGCTGCTTCCAAAGGGTTACAGGCCGATCATGAAATCCCATTCTCGCCACGGGCCCTTGAAATCTACCGATCCCGAGCATGGTATCTTGACGACATCGTTGTAGAAGATGCAAAGAAAGTTGAGATTGGAGATGCTAGTGCTGGAAATTACCCCTCAGCAACCCTTCGCAATCCCCTACCGAATCGGATTCGAACCTTGCGATGTTCAATTCACAAAAGGGATGTTTCACTGGACATGTCTGGCGAGTTTATCATCCCACCATTGCCTCCCATGCCCAATACGAGTCAAATAAAGAAAATGTTGCCTATCGAGACAAACAAAAATATAGTGCCCTCGCCCTGTCCAAAGTCTTACGAATGCCATCTCAATCAAAAACTGGGTTTAGGAGTGCAGTATGAAAGCACAAAAGTTTAATCGTCTCACTCACACCATGCAGTCTGTATATATTGTGCACATGACTAGCAAATAGTATATACTTCTATCGCTTGTCCATTTCGCTCACAAAAAAAAATTCGTGGATGTTTTTTCACTTTACAGTCGACTGTGTCAAAGTTTAACGCCTTCATTTTAATCTTTGATCTCAATTTCTTTTCTTTGTGATATCATTTTACCTTGCAGCTCATGTAATCTGTTACTATTTAAATCTTTAAACGTTTGTCTTCGTCCATTTCTATCGTTCTTTTTTTGTTTTTTGTTTTTTCTGGATTGTCATACAGGGGCTTGTTGTTTTAAATATTTATGAGAGGAGATGGAAATGAGTTTGAGTTTCGTGTTCAAAATGGAAAGTCTGATACTTTCAAAGCAATCGAACATGTGAGGAATGTGACTTATTCTCTCACATCGCAATGTGGAGGATCGAAACCTTATCGAAAATCGTCAAGGTCAGTTAATATGTTCGCTCTTCCCGAACTCATGAGATGGTTTGTTCAATTTTCACTATGTATGCGTGCTCGGGAGGTACAAGAGTTCCCCCCGCCCCGTGGTAAACTTCATACCAGAACTTGCCCAAAATTAAAAATTGACAAAGTTGGCGAACGAAAGGTTGTAGTTAGAAATATGTAGAGTTCACACTCTTTCGCAGCACCAGCAATCGATCCGAGATATTCAAAACCAAAGTGAGCGAATTCTCGGAAGCTTGGATTGACAGTGGCAAAAGTTGAACTGGGAAGTTTCTATGTGAGTGCGTATTGTACTTTTGGCTAGTTTTGGCTTCTATCATAGCTCAGCCTGCATCCATACATACCAAGGAAGACCAAGGACCACCAAGACTACAAGACACCACATTCCATTCATTTTGACTACTTAAAGTAATTTATCGAGCGAGATGGCGTTAGCTGGCGTCACGACACGCGCCGATCTACCCAGTACTTTCAATAGACCGTCATCTGTTGTAAAGCTGATGGAATCTCATTTGCTGTCCTGCACTGATTCGGGATCTGTAAATCAAAAAACCTCCAGGATGAGGATAAACGCATTTATTATATGTAGAGTACGTAGCGTCGCAGTTGTTCTATCGGAAGAGGAAAGTCTATAGACTGATTCAGTCATACAGTCCCCTTTTCGAAGTCAAAAGTCACATTCTTGTCGTCTTTTTTCTCATTCTTTCTCTATTTCCTTCTATTTTTCTCTGCGTGGTTGATCCTCTACGAGACAAAGTTTTCGCCTGTTTTCGCTCCCGTTCGAGTGTTTCATCAAGATCAGCTGCTTGGTCTACCTACAAAGTTAACTCCTGATCAACCTATATAGAACACACGCGGTCACATCTGGTCAAATATCATAAGTGTAAACAAGTGTGACGAGAACTTTAAGCATCGTACTTCAAGGCCCCTCGTTTGAACTATTCAAGCCTATTTTTCCTCACAGAATCGTTCATGTTAGAATCGTATATACATCAATTCTCATCTTGATCATCTATTCATCATGCCAGTCTTTATCTGGCTTTTCTTTACTCTTTCATTGACGACTTGCAATGCGGAAATCGCAGTCCCTAATAATATATCTTCACCTCCTAACTCCCGCTCAACACCACCAAATGTTACTTCCCACGTTTCGAATTTCAAATTTGAAGTCATTCAACCCCCACCTGGCTATGAAGAATGGGTTTCACCACTCGTGTATGTATTCCTTTCTGTACTCTTGATTTATCACCAGTATTTGCTGATATTAAATCTCGAAATTCCTTCCTCGTAGATTACCCGCTCCCCCTCAGGATGGATCTCAAGGCTGGTCAAATGCTCTAAAACGCGCAAAAGAATTTGTCTCTCAACTTACAATTGAAGAAAAAGGTACGCTGATTTACCCAGAATCAAAATATAAAATGAAAGTTTTTTTTGACTAACACTGCAATGTGAATGTTCGAACTTGTAGTAAACTTAACCACCGGAGCAGACACCACAGGCAGATGTGTTGGTGAAACAGGTACAATCCCAAGAATGGGATTCAATCAACCTATCTGTTTACAAGATGCACCAGTAGGAGTTAGATACACAGATTTAGCTTCTTATTTTCCGGCTGAAATTAGTGTGGCTGCCACTTTTGATCGAGGATTGATGCGAAAGCGGGGGATAGCTCTTGGTGCTGAATTTGCTGGTAAAGGTGTTAATGTTGCTTTAGGTGAGGTTTTGTATACCTGTGCGATTTTGTTCATGAACTCGAGCTGATGGATAACCTCTATTAAAGCTCCTATGATGAACTTGATGAGAGCACCAGAATCGGGAAGAAATTGGGAAGGTCAGAAATTCAAGCTACTTGGAGTGATTTTTACTTTCTTACGAGCTTTCTTGTGGCTGTCTTTAGGTTTTGGTGCGGACCCTTTCTTATCAGGTATAGGATCAGTAGAAACAATCCTTGGTATGCAATCACAGAATGTGTCTGCCTGTGCCAAACATTACCTTGGTAATGAACAAGAACACTATCGTGGTGGTTCGGCTTCAACAGCTTCAAGTTCAAACATGGATGACCGCACATTGCGTAAGTTTTTACTCGGTCCAAGAATTTGTTTCACCGGTCTCTGATCCACCTCTGATCCTACCACCACCATAGGCGAAGTTTATGGATGGCCTTTTGCCGAATCTGTGCGAGCTGGGGTGGACTATGTGATGTGCTCTTATAATCGAGTAAATCAAACCCAAACTTGCGAGAATTCAAAATTGATCAACGGAATTCTTAAGGGTGAACAACGATTCCAAGGTGTACTCGTATCAGATTGGGCTGCATCGATCTCCGGTGTACGTGCGGCGCTAGCGGGTTTGGATATGAACATGCCTGGCTTCATTGCTTATGGTAATGCCTCGGAACCCAACCCAGCTCAGTCCAATTCATCATACTGGGGACTTCGACTCATAGAAGCTGTCCGAAATGGATCGGTCCCAATTACGCGTCTAGATGACATGGCTCAGCGTATCATCTCGACTTATTATAAGAATGGTCAAGATCTCGCATCTTTCCCTCGTCTCAACTTCCGATCTATCGGTCAAGGAACAGATGCCGAACAAGCGGCCGATAACAAACACGTCAATGTTCAAGCCGATCACTACAAAATCATTCGAGAGATCGGTTCTGCTTCCATTGTCCTTTTGAAAAACGTCAACAAGACCTTACCTTTGCCTTCACCTGCTCACATCGAATCCATTGCGATCCTCGGGGAAGATGCTGGCGACAATCCAAACGGAGCAAATGGATGCGTTGATCGTGGTTGCAATATTGGTACCTTAGCTGGAGGTTGGGGTTCAGGTACGGCTGAATACCCTTACCTTGTAACCCCAGCCACAGCCATTGAAGGCTATGTTCGAGCCGGAAATCCGAATATCAAGGTCAACAAGGTCTTGAATGATACCAATGTCGATCAAATCACTAAAGTGGCTTCCGAATCCCAAGTTTCACTCGTCCATGTCAATGCTGATTCTGGAGAGGGTTATATCACTGTTCAAGGAAATGTAGGAGATCGTAACGATCTGAACTTATGGGAGAATGGTGATGCAATCATCTTGAAGGCTGCCGCGGTCTGTTCAAATGTTATTGTTATCATACATGCTGTTGGGCCGGTGAATATGGAAGCGTGGATCAATAATCCGAATGTTACAGCTGTGGCTTTTGCCGGCTTACCAGGTCAAGAGAGTGGAAATGCTGAGGTGGATATCTTGTGGGGGAAGGTTAACCCAGTGAGTGACTTGAGTCTTGATGCATATTGATACTACGATCTCATCTCGATTCGTTGACTCTTCTGCTCTTAGAGTGCTAGACTACCTTTCACAATTGGCAAGAGTTGGAAAGATTACCCAGCAAGCGTACTTTACAACTCCAGCATGGTTATCCCACAAATCAACTATCAGGAAGCACTAAACATTGATTACCGTCATTTCGATGTTCACAACATACAGGTATGTCATCTACATCACATTTCGTGCAATTCTACATCTCACTGTTCCTCTCATGATATCTTTGGCAATCGATTTGTTTAGCCTCGGTTTGAGTACGGGTTCGGTCTCTCTTATACGACCTTTAACTATTCAAGCATCAGCTACCAGAAAGTCGCCAAGTCTGCTGCCAGAAGCGGAAAAGTAGGCAACCACGACACTGCGCTAGTTGTTAACTTCATGATTCAAAACACTGGCTCGGTTGATGGACACGAAGTTGCTCAGGTCAGGATTTTTGCGTCTGATCAACAACTCGAGTGACTTAGTCTGATGGTATGATCTTTGTACATTCTAGCTATATCTCGGCTTTCCAGCCAGCGTTCAGGAGCCCGTGAGGGTACTGAGAGGATTTGAGCGTGTCATGGTTAAAGCAGGTGGAAAAGTGCAAGTTTCGATAAAGCTCAGGGTTATCGATATTTCAATTTGGTAAGTTTCTCTCCATTTGCCATCAAACCTTACTTTGACTGAAACTCTGGCTTTGATTGTACCTTTCAGGGACGTGGTTCGTCAAGAGTGGGTAGTGCCTCAGGGAACTATAAAAGTTTGGGTCGGAAGTAGTAGTCGAGATCTTAAGCTTCAAACCGGTTTCAGCTTCTGAGACCTTTAATAATTCCAAGTGATAGCAAAGCATAAATTTATCTCATCATTAACATCTTTCCTTGAACACTTTTTTTCGGTTTCTGAGACTCTTTATAGTTGATGGAAGACTTTATTTGTTGATAAGCGTTGGACATAGATTTTGACTTTGTTTAATTGTCATGTTTAACATTAATCCTTTTGCGTAGCATTAATTTGAGAAGAATAACTTTGTGAAATGCAACTTGCTTTCACTAGGACCTTGGAAATCTCCTGCAGAGGTCCCTGATGAAAATGGTCAGGTTTTGGCCCCAAATCCCGCCAAAATACGTCATGAAAATGGTCAGGTTTTGCCAAGTCTTGGACTTTTTTCAGGATTTTTAGCCATCAGGTCTTGACCGCTCTTGAGAGCTCTCAAATTTCTGGGTTTTACTGGACACTTTTGAGACAGCAAAACGCAACAAACGGCTCTTTACGGGTTCGTTGCCAAACATAGACATTGTTGGAACAACCATGTGAAGTTGAACATGGCTGTATTAAGGAACCGGACAGTATGTGTTTGACTAAGTAAGCAGATCAAAACCCAAGGTCCAAGACTTTTACCATCTTCACTGCACGGTTCAAGCCCAAGTAAGCTTAAATATGGCCCTCTTCCCTGCCACATCCATGAAAACAAGGTGATAGTTTGCATCACATGTCATGTTTTGGAGGGGCTTGGACCAATGGATCTCAATGTGAAGATAACTTTGGTGAAAACACATAAAGGTCAGATCCAAGTCTTGGAATTCAAGAGCTTCAAGCCCAAGCCAGCCCAGGCCCCCAAGCCAGATCTGGCTTGGGTTTTGAGCTTAACTAAGCTCCTCTTCTGATATGGCCACGCCCGCTCTAGGGATTAGGGCTTATACCCAGGCTTTGGGCTGAGACCAGCAAGGAATTTCAAGCACTTTTGCTCAAAATCCCTTTTTGAGGGCTCTAAACATTGTGCAATCTCACAAAAAAGTTCAACAGAGCTCTTTGTGAGCCTTGTACACATGTGCATGCCACTTCTAGCACCATGTTACTTGAGAAAACGTCACAGTTGAACTGTTAAGCTTTTGTAAATCTAGGTCTAATTCAGTGTGCATGTGGGCTTGTGCGCTGAACCCTTCAAGATGACTTGATATTGAAATCAGATTTCCCCCTAATGTGAGAGTTGTGACAGGCTAAAAACAGTACAAGAAGAAGAAGAAGAGCTTCTTAAAGCTCTGCTGGATTTATTTCACGGTTTTACAGTGTTTAGAGCTCTTGCAAAAGTGCTTGAAATACCTGCTGGTCTCAGGGTCAAGTTAGCAAATAATCCCTAAGCCCCTCTTCAAGAGGTTGTCTTGGAAGAGGGGCTTAGTTAAGCTTAAAGCCAATTTCAAGACTTGGAATTTATCTTTTTGGGTTTTCACCAAAGTCATTTTGACATTGAGATCCATTGGTTCAAGCCCCTCCCACACATGAACTGCAATGAAAACCTTGCCAAATATCATCAGTACATATCTACACTGTGCAGAATACCTGTTGCAGTTTCAACAAGAACAAGATTTATCCTCATGATCTGCATATGCTTCATGTTCTTGGGACTCTGTCAACACAAGCGCACATACCTCAAAAAAATTGAGAATGATGATCTCAGGTTTTTGCAGACTTTCAAGTGAACTATGTTGGCTGTATTTGCACAAAAAGCTGTCATCACAATAGCAACTTCTCCTTTTCACAAAGTCTTACTTTTGACATATTCAAAAGCTGGTTGGATAATGAACTCAGATTTTTCCATTTATGGCTCAACCAATAGATTTTTTCTATTTTGATACACAAAGGATTTCTTTACATTTCCAATAGCAACATTATTCTCAAAAAGTCTCATTTTCCACCTAGGAGTGTATACTTTCCCAGAACATGCATCACAGAATCACCGTGTCCGTATCCGTGTAGCACGTCCACGTGCACACACCAAATACTTTCAATACATACTTGAAAGACACATTAAAGAGGTCTCCACAATAGGCATGTCTTCCCTTTGTCAACTGGGACGTTGGCACTCAGTTGACCCCAACTGCTGACAAAGGATCCCACAAATTCTTTTGTCAAATTGTCATTCACAAAGGGTGCTCGGCACCGATCTCAGACTAAAGCCTACCAAACAGCTTTCTGTTTTTTTTCAAAACTCTCCGTGTGTGCACGTCGACGTGCTACAAGGATACCGACATGGTGAATGTGTTGTAAATTTTCCTTGCTGTTCCTTCCAGAAGCAGAGCTCCACACCTGAACTTAAAAGCTTGCTCTACATATTTGAAAAGCACATCATCTCTATGATGGTCACTTCATCTGCTTTGTTTGCCTACACTTTTAGTATACCCAAAAAGCTTGACATTGTCAATAAAATGAAATGTTGCTTTTTCTACTGAAATTCCCCCACTATAAGGGTCCCGGTCACTGGCTGTCTACATTCCTTGGGCTACAAAATCCTTCCTTCCTGTCAGGTTCCCTACTCAGCCTATTGTTTGGTCAAACTACTGAAGGCTCAGTGATGTGCCATGATTGAACTACTTCAGAGGTTCTTCTGACCTGGGGTAACTGTCTCTCATATGCATGAAGCCTTTTGTAAACTGTTGATTGCTTATGCATGCTGCCCAGATAGATCTACAATCAGGTCAGCCACTAGCAAAGAACAGGTGATCTGCAAAATTGCCAACATCCTTTATCAGTACATTCTCCACATCTGGACCACAATTCCACATTACCTCACTCAATTTGTTCATCAATACATAAGTGAAGGATTTTTTGAATGAGGGTATATCCACATCATCTGATGGCTCTTGACCATCTTCTGCCATTTGCATTCTCCATTTCATGACATATGGTACATAGTATTTGATGTTTTTATTGATTGGAGAACACAAACATTATGTATGTTGTTTTGAGTCAGACTTAGTGTCCCTCTATCTATATTTGGTCTCAATGTCTTTGACATTGTTCAATTATCAAGTCAAACACTCCAGTGCCTGCATTTGGCTTTTTAAACTGGATGTTCAATGCATGATCATATCCATGTATTGCACAAGAATCTATTTGGTTCTTACATGATATATGTTACAGGACCCAATTAACCTTATGGCCATTGTATCTTCTTTGTGTTACTAGAGGAGTCTTTGTCAATAAACCTCTCTTGGTGAGCTGTAGCAGGCCACTTTGCCGGCTAAATTTGGCTCACAATAGTCAAAAGCATTTCAAGTGCACTTTGTGTATTACACATCAAATTTGAAGAGCTTTTCAGCTGTGCATATGAAAGGTATAAACAAATTTCTTCACCTCTCAATCTTTATTTCCTACACCTATCCACCACTTATCTAATAGTCTTTAATAAAGCTGCCTTCAAAACTCTTCCCTGTCTCACAACTCAACTTCTAACCAACTCTTTGTCTCTCACCATGCTTAAGTATAAAACATTCTGTACTGAAACCAGAAGTGTGTCTTCCAGTTCCAAAAAAATATTTATCTGTTATCAATAGCATGTACAATTTTTAAGGGGTCTCAACAAGGCCCCAGATTTATTGCACTGTAGCAAGTCCTGGAGAGGCTATGTGTGAGGTATTTGTGAGTGCTTTAAAGTTGGAGGGTGGGCCTGCCAATTCCTTAGTATGTAATAAAACACCAATCACACCTCATAACTCAGTGTCAAGAGTTGGATACTTATACTACATAATATACTTAACATGTATATGTAATTAAGTATGACTAGTAATAATAATTATAATAACACTAATAATAATAACAATAATGATAATAATAATTCATGGAGCCATTAAAGTGATATGAACAAATATCCCTACAGTTAGCTTTAGAGAGGAGAAAATATAAACCTCTCCTCTCTCAGCCTTCAAGCAAATCCCCCAAGCTTTTATTACCACTAGTTTTAAAGAACAGTTAAGGATCTATTAAAGTAACATCAAGAGTCTTACAAAATATAAGACTGGTGATAACTTCATAACTTTGTTCAGCTTCCTGACTAAAAGCAAGTAATACATACACTCTTTACCTTTCTGGATTCTCTACTTCCCCAAGTAGAAACAAACTAGGTTGGTGATTTCCAAACAACCTCAGGATAGTGGTCTACATACAAGGACTTAGGTTAAGAACAACCTCAAGTTGGCAACTGTAAGAACAACCAGTCTAGTGATCACTACCTCACTCTTTGATCTGTGAATATAAAGATTAAAGGAATCTCTTGGATACAACCATCAATAATTATAATAATGAACCATTAGAACTAAATCCTCCTTTTAAGGAGTCGACTAACTGTAGTCTGTCTGGAGTTGTCTAAACAGACTTTCAGCTACCCTTCCCTCTCTTTCTTTCTCTATTTCATATTGTAATTACACCACCGGCATCTATTAGGTTGTATCATATGTGAAACTTAATGTGGTGACAGAGTTCACAATAAGTTTCAAAGTTGGATTGAAACCTATTAAAATACAAGGTCCCCCTCTTGCCTTTAATAGGTTCCAATTGAAAAATTGAGACTTATTGCAGACTCAGACACCACAACTTTGCTCAATCAGGTCTTGAACATAATAATTCCTGCAGTGTTACTACATATTTGAATTGTATTTACTTTCAAATCCAATTACATATATCATTGGTGAGCATAGAGTATTCCCAAAGAGGACCCTAACCCTCACATAATTGCAATTGCGACACAATTCACAAACTACCATTATGGCAAGTTCCTTGCATTGCAGAATGCCACAACACAACACAACACAACACTGGCTTAAAGTTGGGCAGCTTCTAGTGGTCAGAGTGGTCTCACAGGGCAGTGGAATTTGTGTGAATAGAATCTGATATTGAGCCAAACAGTAAAGCCAAACAAATGTAAAGAAAACAAGAAGTAAAAAGGTGCATGTAAGCAAACAAAATGAGTGTAAAGAAGAGAAAAAGTAATTTCAATCAACACACAAGTGAGACAAGACGATTTATGAATAAAGGGAACAAATAAGTCAACAAGTGTATAAAAAACAAGTAGGTGAAAAAGTATTTAATAGGCAGAAACAATTATGATGAAAGAAATGAGATACAATTAAATCAGTTCTACTTTACTGGCTCCTTGTCTTTTGCCATTGCCAATTCCTTCCACTTGCCATTTGACAAATCCTTGCTAAATGCATGAACATAATCCAACATTTCAGAAAATTTACTGTTTTCCCAATATCCAGCTTTCAAATACACAATTCTATTGGTTGTACAGCATCATTCTATATATCTCTATCATCCCCTGATTTGTGATTCTTCGATGTTATTTCTTAGCATATTCACTGCTGAGTGCACTCAGGGGGGAAATCGTTTTGAGCGCTTGGCGGCTCTAACTCTTCATATTCTAAGACTTTGATTTTGTTTTGGTTGTCTCTCCCTAAAGTGATGCGCGCGTAGAGAACATTGTGATGGTCGGGCTTCGCAGCCACGGCACCTACGATGGCAACCTTGACCGTCTTCCCATTTCTCTCTTTGGCAGTTGAGGGGCTCTCGCAATACACTAAAGATTTTTGTGCAACGTTTTTTTAGAAATTTGCACGTGATTCAGGTGAGAACAGAAGTCAGAACTACTGCAAACGGGTTTTTATGGTAGTACTAGAAAGCCCGAACGCGAATCTGGAACATACACGTCCCGATTTCCGTGCTCAAGACCTTGCCTGGCATGAAGGCTGCCATGGCGATGCGAGTCGCTTATCGAAGATGATGACCAGGAATTACGAAGTTGATGTTAGAAATTTCCATAATCACATCGTCACATTGCGAGAGGAAGTTTACTCACGTCGTATGCCGCCAGGGCAAACTGGACTTTTGAATATGACCTCCGAATCCATCCTGTCGAATACATCGTCCACCCTTCTGTTATCGAAGCCTGTAAAAACATCACCAATGAAGCCCTGGATTTCTTCCTTTGTGCATGGTGAATCTAGCATAGAAAGAGTAGTCAATCCATGAGTCTAGAGCAACAGCGTTCGCACATGACGATAGTGACCCACTTGTCACAGCAGGATTGTCTAGAAACTGGAATCCATTGCGCCAATTGAACGCCCCGATCAAAAAGGGAGATAGAACAAGTGGAAGAAGTGTAAAAATTCTGGTCATGATGATATTAAGGTAATGATGAGATCTTTTTTGGACAAGAAAGGATATACGCAGAGAACGATCACGGATGATGATCAGATGAGGACCAATGATGAACCGATGGAGCACCAATGATGAACCGATGGAGGACTTTCTTTTATATTGGTGAGCAAAGCTTATACAGCACACCATTTGATCTCACGCTTGAAATAAACTTTACGAGTTGAAGCATTCGAAGCATTGAAGCAATGCTTCACGCTCAGTCAACCAATACTTGAAATAATCCATCAACGTTTTGAGATGATAATTATGTACATATAATTTTTGCGGCACTCGATCGCTTCAGAGTACGATTTCTATGACCAGCTAGAATTTGTGTCCTATTTACGGATTAAGCTTTAAGGTTGCTACCATCGCCGGAACTCATGATGACTCATTGTGGTAAATGCAGAATGACTTCATTTCCATTTCATAATTGAGAACTCTGACTTGTTTGCTCAGAGTCATAGGACCTCGTCCTTTTTTGTTATCAGCATGAGGGATTTATATAGCTTTAGAATACTCAGCCTGAGGTTTGTAAGACATCAAGTATAAATCTTTCATAACGAACAAAAAGGTAAGAATTGGAAACGATTGCATTCCACTTTAAAGCAAGTCAAAAACGATGGCAGTTCACTTTGACATGAACGATTGCGGGTCACTTTCATATCTTACCTTGATAAGTGTCTCATCACGGCGACCGGGATCATTCGGATAGGCAAGCGGTATTTATAAGTCTGCACCCCAATCAAATCAACAGCTACACCACACGCTCCTTACAACCTTGATCAACTTGTTCTCAGACACACCGTGAGGAACTCAATGTGAATATCGAGGTATACTCAACAAGTGTCATATGACGGAGCTCGAGACCACCCGGATCAACTAGCAAGATCCATAAAACTTCACAGTTAAACCAAAGGGTGTAGGTTGGGGCTAAAGCCCATATGAAGGTACAGACTTCAAATTTGATAAATGAGAGTAACAGGACCTAGTATTGTAAGCTATCGTCCATAAACAAAAGCAATGGACTTCACATAATTTGTGTATCAGAAAAATGTCAAAGCTTTTCAATGTTCTTTCAATCTTCTTTACAACACCTTTAGCAATCTCTTTGAGATTTTTTTTGATCAGATGACATAGAATATAAAAGAAAACCCATCCATGCAAATTAAAAAATACATTGAGATTATTAAGTACCTCCTCATTGTGATACAAAGATGATTTATGATTCCAAAAAGAATCTCAAGACCATCTCAATCCACTTCCCACTTCCTCTTGCGCTGTGCTCTTAGCCATATCACATTTTTCATGTGTTCCTACTGATATCTTATCTCACACGCAGTTTTTCTTTATCATTGCTTGACTTTTATGTCTAGCAACGTATTCAAGAGGGGAGGGCTTTTATGCTGTAAACAAGTCGATGACTTAGGTTCTCCGCAAGGAAGATGCCATTGCCAGGGTGGGATATAGTCTCATCATACAAGGTGAATGATTGTACTTCATCTACAAAAAGAATTTTCATTCTTCATTAACCAATTGAAATCAGTATGATATTTTGATTTCAATCAAAATCAAATCATAACAGATCTGTACAACTTTTTCTTGATCAACATTTTCTGATCCAAAAACCTCCAAGAAGAAAAAATGAACCCAAAAATGAACCCAATCTTTTTCTATCAAATCAAATCAAAAAAAAAGTTATAAATATAATTTTAAAAAAGCAAATGATGAAATCATATACCAAAAACGCATAAGAAAACCCATAAAAAACAATCTACAACCCGAAAAGATTTATACATACAATAGTTTTCTTCTCTCTTTCTTCTCTCCTTCTCTCTGTCTTTCTCTCTATCTCTGTCTTTCTCTCTATTTAGTTATAGAAACCGAAATATGAATCAACAGAAAACAAACATAATCATTATCTTGAGCAAAAATTACAAAAAAAGAGTAAGAGAAAACCTGAAGATTTTGGAAAACAGAACCCAAAGAAAAAGACAAAATTTCTATGAAGAATAATAAATACCCAAATAGCAAAAGAGCAAAGAACTCTATTTTTAAAGAAAATCATTTGTTGATTTTGTCTCCTTTAATGATAAGAGACCAACAAAAAAACAGAGTAAAAAAACCATCAATCTTTTGTGATTGATGAATTTTGACCTTGATGATTATTTGTAGGAGTAGGTTGAACTTGAAGGTAATGTAAAATAGGTGATCCAACACAAGAAGAAGAACCAGCAATCGAAGCTGAAGGAGAAATAGCTCGACGTTTGAAAGAATTCGAATTAGGTGAACAATCAAACCGATCTGTATCTTGAACTTCAACCCCACCAAGAAACAAAAACCAAAACCAAAAACGTTCATCAAATTAGGTAATAAAAGGTAGAAACGAGAAATGAAAGTCTTACATCTCCTTTTGGCAGGTTTGGTCATGGTTCCAGTTCCTAGTGAAGAACAAGGAGATCCACCAAACGAATGATACCCGTTAATACCATAAGGTCTAGCAGGAGAAGGATCAGGAGAACCAGGAGAGATGACCAAAGGATTCGGTCCAACCGGATTAGCAGGATGAGTAAGAAGTGAAGGATGATGATTCGTATTAGTCGTTCCACTTCCACGAAACCGTTTCCATTTCTGGATTTCTAGGTTCATTCGTTGTTCTTCTGTTGTGCTTTCATCCATCATACTCGTTGATTCTCCTTCACTACTGTCTTCGCTTTCTTCGTCCCTTTTTCCTAAACTGTCATCCGGTCCTACTTGTTCTGGAAATCGATTCGTAGGCGGCGGTGGTAATGGTATGGATTTTCTTTCGGGATTTCCAAAGGGTGAAGAGGGTGTGCGTGGTATTAAGGGTGAATGTAATGGATTTGGGGCTGGTGATGAGGGTGGGATGACGAATGGTACTGATCTAAATCTTCGATGGACTTCGGCTTCGGTTAAAAGATCTGGTGAAACGTCTTCGGTGCTTAGTTGAGCTGCTACTCTGAGATGTGCTTTTGGACGAGGCTGAAGATGAGTAAATCAAGCGAGTGAGATCGTAAGTCAATATTATCGTCCTTTAAATTGATGTTGAATGAAAGAGAAGAGAAAACGTACTAAAAGATTAGCTCGATTCACATGTTTCCTCCTGACCATTCTTGCACCAAAAGCACCGACTTGAGTCGAAGTTGAACGATGGGTATCATGATCAATAGGCATAGAAGTTTGACGAGAAGATCTATCTCTATCAGGATTTCCAGTTCCAAGACGGTCACCACTCATGATGGTATGATTCATACTTGAATCTGAAGATTCGATTTTTTCCTTCATTTTTCCTTTTCTAATTTGAGAACTACTAATACTTCGATCATCATCTATCATCATTCCATCTGATTCTTCTTCGATTTCTTCTACTTCGATCTCCTCTACTTCTAGTTCTCCTTCTCCTTCATGATCTTCTAGTGAATTCATTAATAAACTGTTGATCCCTCCTTGAGCATCTTCTAGATCTAAATCTGTTTCATCCCATGGTGATTCATCTGTCATTGCACATGTACTGACTGATCCACGATGATGAGGATGATAACGTCCTTGGAGCAAAAGATGTTGTTGTTGTTGTTGATAAACACTTGAGCTGCCAATCGATGAAGTGACACTTAAAGTTCTTTGATGATGTGGGTTTTGGATATGATGAATATGATGATGCTGATGATATTTTGGTGGCGAACGAGTTGGGATTGAGATGATATCTAATGGACTATTAACTTTTTCAATTTCAGGTGAGATGTTTGATGAAGTAGAAGGAAATGAAGTTGAAGTTGAAGTTGAAGTAGAAGGGTTTCGGTTTGATAAGAATGAAACAGTTGAGATTAAAGAATGATGTGATTGATTTGAAGCTAATTGTCTTAGATCAGGATGAGATGAAGTTCTTTTAATGATTTGATGATGCTGAGCAACTGGTTGGTTCAAGTTTGGTTGATTTGGTTTGAAATTCAAATTAAAATTAAAATTCGATTTACTAGATGGATTTATCGATTCTTCTGACATCCTACGCTTGCTTGGTAAACTTGAACTTGATGGAACTGGATTCATCTTCCTTAATCCTACTAGAGAAATCGTTGAAAGGAAGAAGAAATTGTAAATTGATAATAATGAATCTCAATGGGAATCTAACAAAGTCTTTTTTGTCTCTCTTGAAGTTGGATGATGAACGGTTTGTAAGGATAGATCCAATTTAATTACTTTCAAAAAAAAGAAATCAAAGGGATAAATTCAAAAGAAGTAATTTACTATTAATGGTAAACAGGGACTGGATTGGATTCGAGATCTTAAGAAAAGACTACAAAGGATTCAAAAGAAGAAGAAGAAGAAATTGTGGAATGGTTAAGAAGGTTTTTTTAAGATTTCATCAAGGGTTCAACAAATCAGGGTGGGGTTTCTCAAAATGATTCTTCTATCTTGAAAAAGTGGGAAAGTTTAAAACAACTTTTCAAAAGACCATTAAAGATTTCTTGATTTTATATAGAACTTGATCAAACCTCGACAACCATCCTCAAAAGCCAATCACAAACTCAATGGTTCTCATGATGTTGGGTTTACGTAAAATCAAAATCACGCGAATCAAGGGTGGATTGCGATGATGAATGCAATTGAATCGGATTCGAATTGAATTGGTTTCCATACTTAACCTCAGAATTCAACCAGTTTAGATATAGTTTGGTTCACTAGTTTAAATCACATTGAATTTAATTGACAAAAAAAGTCTAATAAATTATGTATTTCAATGGAAAATTTAATCAGGTGACCTACATCCTGTATCACTAGGATGCTTTTTAAAGTTCAAGTTACACTTACAGCGGTTCAAGAATCCTTCGGTTTATTTGGTGGTCTTTTTTTTAAAGTTTTGGACAAAACTCGGAAAAAACTCATTTGGACAGTTCAAATTTGACAGATTCTAGTACAAAATCGGTTTCACCGAGGGTTTTAGCGAGGGTTTTGGACATTTATTTTGTTTTCATGCGGTAAAAAAAACCGAAGGATTCTTGAAGCGCTGTAACTCCCCCCTAGAACAAATTAAGCTAAAAAAGGGGTCATGAAACTAGAATGTCACATTCACAAGTCACCCAACTCATGTCTCAGGAAGTTGTCAAAGGGTCAAATGACTCTGAAGAAAATCAAGAATCACTACACTGATGATTTCATTGGGCTGGCATGATGTAGCATCAAGACCAGCCATACTAAAACATGTCAACACATCCTCAACTTTCTTCATATATCTGACTTACAATTCTGATCATCTTCTTATCATCCTTGACCAGCTTCTTAGTTAGCTAAAAACTTGAGAGGAATAATTATTTCTAGGCATAAAGTAACAGCTCTTTGATGCTACTCTTTTAATATTAATGTTGTTGATCCAAACTAGACCTCAACCCTCTTCACACTCAACTTGACATCAGATGAGTGTTCAAATAACTTCTACATCTTTAAGTTCAGTTTTTCCTTTGATCTTCTTCAAGCAAGTACTACTTTTTCCTTTGATGATGCTCTTTTGTTTCTACTATTGATTAAATAATGACTAAGCAATCATTCTATTTTTTGCTTCTTCTTGAATTAAATACACTCATCTCTTACTCCTCTTGACGCTTTTTATATATGTATATTTTTCTCACTAAATCCTTTGATTATCAGTCTTCTTCTCTAAATTCACTTTATCAATTTTCAATCTAATCTAAATAATTTTTAAGTCTTACTTATCTTATCTTACGATATCCTTATCTTAATCATATACTTCCTATCTACTTGTTTCAAATTTTGGTGCTCTCTATCTATCTTCTTTTGATTGTTGATGATTTATATACCCATAATTCTTGTCTACCTTCTTTATCTACTGGTATCAATAAACAAACTGTGAATATCTTGATAATATTGAACTAAATTCATCATGATGATACTTTTCAAGTTACAGATAACATGCATTCAACCTTTCCCTTCTTGAAACCATCTGTTGTTCTACTAACCAATCAATCTAAATCATTTTTTGATTTTTGGTTTTTCATATTCTTCTTCCATTTTTCCCCCTTCCCCTTCCCCTTCCCCTTTACTTTCTTCAAGTGAATTCAATATACCATCAATTCCTCCTTGAACATCTCCTGAATATACATCAGTTTCATACAATGGTATATCATGTGGTATTGCACAAGTGGTGATTGATCCACATTGATCAGGATGATTTGATCCTTGCTAGAAAAGGTTTTGTTGTTGATGATAAACAGATGAACTCTCAATGGATGAAGTAAAACACTTTAAAATTGGCCACCACAGCATTCATCTTTGTGGTGTGATGTAGAAAAAGTTTATAAGCTACATTTTTACTTTGAAACATGAAAGGATTTCATTTGACCAATCTTTGTTAAGGACCTCTCACAGGATTTGTCTACAAGGATCAGGTATCTGGATGGTCTGGTATCAATGGTAAGATTGTTGGATGAGTGTAAGAAGGGATACATGGCCATCATGTGATGTACAATCTCAAGTCTCACAACTCACACAAGTTATAACATGTGTATCATACCATTATTGCTCCTTCAATGTTCAACTTCCCCTTACAAGGTTCAATTCTCTCCAAAGGCAGCATCAAAAAACCACTTGGAAATATTGTAGCCCTCTTATTTCCTTCTATGTCTTCTCCTAAGGCTATACTGTTTTTCTGCATCCATAAATTTCATCTTGATTTGTTTTAATTAAATCTTTGCTGTTTTTTGAACTCACTAGCTGCCAAGATTTGTTTTCAGTGTTAAATTCCTTCCTATTTATCAAGCAATCACACCTTTTGTTTTTCATTCTACAGTTCAACATTTCATTCAGTTCTCACTGCTCATCCACTTCATTCATCATTGCACTAAATGGTCGCATTTTTGGTCCTTCAATTTTGTTGTACCTGTGTTCATGTAATAAGAATACATGAAAGACCGGGTGTACACTTTGAATGGAAGGCAGATTAATCAATTTCTAAGCTGAGTCTAGCCATTGATGTTCCAATGTAAGGCTAGGTCTTTTTGTTGTTAAATTTTTCTTGCTGAGCCAAACCTGATCTCCTATGTTCCATGTTGGTGTTTGCCGCATGGCTTATTATCAAATTGGATCTTCATCTCTGCTTGTGCTGCTTCTAGGCACTCCTTCAATTTGTCTTGGGTCAATTGTTCTTCTACCACTAGTATACATGGATCTCCCATTTTTATTTCACCCAAATTGGTGTTGTAGCAAAAGTTTTCCTTGAAAGTTGATACACATGTGGAAGGATGATCTTGAGAAAATTCAGCTGTAGGTATCAGGTTCTCCAAACCATCTTGGCGGTCAGAAAGAAAATGATGTAGATACTGTTCTATCAACTAATTAACAATTACATATTGTCCATCAGTGTGTGGGTGGAATTCTGTCTAAGGTTGTGATTCCTAAGCATTTGTTAAGCTCTTGTGACATCTGTGATATGAAGATACCTCATCTATTGGACACTATTGTCTTTGGGATGCCATGTAGTTGCCAGGACTCCTTGACCATGATGTGAGCCAGGTATTCTAACAACCCTGGGCCAGCAACGCGCATGTTGCTTGCCGCGGTGAGGGTGCGCAACAGGGTCCAGGATTTCAGGGTTTTTTCTAACCCGCAACATTTGCTGCTGCGCTGCGGTCCAGGGCCTCAGGCTGCCGGTGTTGCGCGCCGGGTTCTTTTTATGTAAGATATTCCCATTTGGGCAAGGAGGTCACCTTGTTTCACCCTATTTCCATCAATTCGCACCAATCACCAACTAATCTAATCCAAATTGGTAAGAATTTCTAATGACATGCTTGTGTTGAATGGTATAAAATGTCACATTTTTGTTAAGCTGTCAACAAATGTCAGTATACTTTCAAATCTGTTTGATACCTGCAGCTTGGTGATCAGATCATCACTGATATCTGTCCAGATACCAGGTGGTCTTGGTAATGGTAATAATGATCTTTAGGGTTTCTATGTGCTACTTTGTACTCCATCTCTCTACATCACATATGCCTTGACTGATGGCCGACTGAAACTTTACACATTATTCTGGATCACTTAACATGCCTTTTTTGCCAGTCAGTGAGGTGGGCATTCTTAGGATTCCATCATATTTTTTTCCTTTCAGTTTTGTGATGACAAAGTGGGATATGGTGTTGTTGCCTTCAAGCAATATGTGTATCTTGTGTGAAGACTCATGAATTGAACCATCATAGCCACTCACATAATGATCACTCACAACAGTGGAAATATGGAGGTTATTCTTGAATTTGAATGATCTCCTAGAACATTGTGGGTAGCTCCAGAAGCAATAAGTAAACAGGTTGGGGTGTGATAGTCTTAAAATTTCTGGCTTGGGAGTTGTGGTGTGGGAACAGTGAGGTATGAAAAAATAAAAAAGGGTCTTTTTCATCAAAATTTATGATTGCACTAGCTCCTACTTTTCTTAATCCATCCCAATTCTCCTCTTTGCCAAAGGATGGCACAACATTCATCCCTGAATACCACCATTTTTTGTGGCTTCAGCTTGACTACTACCCTCCTTCTTATCATGATTGTTATTCAAAGTAGCTCATTGTGCCTCTGATTCTGCAAGATGATGATTGTAATTGGTCTTCCTCTTCAAGGGTTGGTTGTATTTTCTGTATGGGCAGGTGTTGAAAATGTGTACATGGTGGTTACAGCAAAAGCAATATCTGGTGTGCATTCATTTAGCTTTCTTCTCATCAGTTAATCAAGTATTGAAAGCTGAAAGACCCATTGAATTCAGGTTGGGAGTAGACGTGATCAAGGGGTTGGAAGTATCAGCAATTCCTCAGAGATTCCAGGGATTTTGTTATCAATATCAATTGATTACTTGGATATTTGCCCAATTTTAGTGATTGTCTCCTGAACCATAATCATTGCAACTCACATTTCTTTCTAGTCCTTTTTCAAACTGACCGGCTGACATGGGAACTTCCCAACCTGAGTTTGTTGCATGTACATTGAATTTGTGGGTATAATCTGCC